CTCGGGCGCTGCCCGAGGGCCCGGGGACAGTAGGGGGCCCCCATGAGATGCCCCTGGTACCTTTTTCATATGATTTTTTCTGAGTTTGGGCAAGGACACAGGGGCCCCATGATCCCCTATTGCCTGGGCGCCCCATGAGTTGTCAGTCCGCCCCTGGCCTTGAAAGACAATGGTCTCCCTCTTCACAGTTCGTTTTGGCAATATATATGTAGATTTTTTTTTCCCTAAATACCTTTTATTGGTAATTTCTGTCTCCAGTTATGGTCCCAGCCGCCTAGGCGATTACATCATCAGGCATTCCCTAGGGCGTCTGTGATATCGGCGTCATCTATCCCAGCAGTCCTAAGGAATGCCTGATACCAAAATATCACGTTATTATGAGACCGGAAGTGATGCCATTGCGGGGAATTCTTCACACTGCGCAGGAGCAAAATCGCTCCTTCTTCACACTGCGCAGGAGCGAAAATGGGAAGCGCATGCTGGGTAGCCAGCTACACAATTGCAATATCCTCAAGAATGTCTGAGCGAGCTTCAGGTGCCCACATTTAAGATGACAGCGTTCACAACATGAGGGTGCAGTAAGTAAATTTATTTTTTATAAGGAAAGCAAAGGATTACAAGTACAGATGATCTCAACTTGCATTGCCTAAGCTGCCACTCTTATGTGGGTGCCTTTAGAAAAAAAAAATTAATTAAACGGCTGGAACTCCGCTTTGAAGTGAATCTAAAGGCTTATTTTTCTTTTAAGTAACAAACATGTTTAGACTTACCTGCTGTGTGCAGTGGTTTTGCACAGAGCAGCTCGGACCCTCCTCTTCTTGGGTCCCCCACCAGCACTCCTGTCCCCTTCCTCCTGTCAGGTGCTCCCCACAGCAAGCAACTTGCTATGGGGGCAAACAAAGCATGCACACTCCCCAGTCGCTGCTCCATGTGTCTATTCATACACGGAGCTGCTGCTCAACCCTGCCCACTATCTCTTCTCATTGGCTTACTGGCTGTGATTGACAGCAGCGGGAGCCAATGGCTCCCGTTGCTGTCTCAGCCAATGAGGAGAGGGAGTCCCGGGATAGCTGAGACTCCAGTGCACAACGCTGGATCGAGAAGGGGCTTAGGTGAGTATTAGAGGGAGCTGGGAGATGCTGCACAGAGAAGGTTTTTTATTTTCATGCATAGAATGCATGAAAGTAAAAAAAAAAACTTGAGTTTTTACAACCACCTAATTTTTTTTTTTTTTTTTTTTATTATTGAAAGTGAAATATGCATGACTCAGTGACTGTAGCATTGTAACTATAGACAAAGTCACTTTCTCTTGCTATAGTCTACTGAGTTTGGTCCTCTCTGAATTTGTGTCCAGTCATCTGTGTTGCCCCCTGTCCAAGCTTCAATTATGTAATCATTTTCCCTGTACTGAGAAATTCTTCTGTTTTACTTTCTGAACTTTGTACTGCCCCATTTCCTTCTTCCATATGCATCCAAATTTCTCGATCACATTGTCTGCAGCATCCAATAAACTCACTGACACCCTGCAGTCTGGTTTTCGTGCTACATGTCAACAAAACTGTACAATCAAAAATAGCTTGTAAAATTTTCAGTGCCAGATTAAGAGTTTTCCTTGGTTGTCTTCCTTGGTCTCTCCTCCATAACTGATGCTTTTGGCTACTATATTTGTGCAGTAATCCTAATGACTACTGTGGTAATGGACACATCCTGTTTTTTAATTCCTGTTGCTTGCCTTTCTGTTGTCTGTTTTGACCCTTTGTCTATCTTATGGCAATAATATACTGTATAATATATACAGTACATCTCGTATGCCACCTGCTCTGATCTCTGCATATTTATAGACTATATTCTTACTAAAGATTTCATATTCTATTTGTTGGTTAATTTTGAGGGCTGTAATCTGAGGCGATATCCAAACTTCCTTATGTTGTCTCCTGGTGGACAGACAACCCTTGCTTCAGCATTGAGCCCCAGTTTGGTAGAATGGCACCTGTTCAAGAAACACAGTATTCCTCAGAAACAAGAAACACAGTAATAACACCTCATATGTTTCGGGTAACATTATATCCCTCTAACACCAGCAACGTCGTTTTGCTCTGACAATAGAAGCATAAATAATAAGGCTTCAAAGAAAAGTATTTATTCCAAAATTAGCCATTTGGATTGTTACATAGTTACTTAAGAACAATAAGCTTCATATTTTGCTGAAGTGAACACACATAGCTAGAAAGATAACTTCTTTATTATTGTAGTGTATTTTTACTTCTATAGGTCAATTGTGGCCTATAACAGAATAGGCTGCCGTTTTGCTTGTTCGGAGTTTCAGCAAACTGCCAAACTAAACTCTTGTTTGGCCTAGTTGAACCTTCGGCAGCTGAGAGGAGTGATGCATTTAGCAGCTGTATTACTATCACTGCTAAATGTAACAGCTTGTGCTCAGGCTAGTATCTGGGGACCTTATTGTTAAAAGGGGACTTCCAGATTGCGATAAGCTCCCGACACACAGACTGCCAAGACCTCCAGGTGAAAGTTTGTGGGAAAAATGCCCTTGTGCTCATCATCATGGGGACAAAGTAATTTGCCGAAATTTGAGTTTGTAGTTTGTGTCTTTATTCAACCTTACCAACTATGTAACTATGTAATTTGAATTTGTACATAGCTCTCTTAGGTCTTCCCACTCTGCTTCAAAAGAATAAGAGCTTACTAATGAGAGCTATATACACAGAACCTAAATTGTATTGGGTCTGCAAAGCCATTTTCTCTCCCTTGGATACCGTGGAAAGACTTGCACTGTAAAAATAATTTAAAAAAATAATTTCATTTTAGTAAGTTGAACATATATTGCAGGTGGCACACTGAAAGCTGTTCTCTACAACTGTTGCCTGCTCATTTACCACTATGTTACTTAGCCTTCAGCTTTTCAAGTGTATTCATATTGCGCAAACAGTTTAAAGTGATATAAGCGTCTACTTAAAAATAGATAAATAAATAATAGAGCATACTTACCTGATCTGTGCAAAAATATTGCACAGAAAACACTGTCTTCTGCTCTTCTACCAGTTGGCACTGTCATCTTCTCCCTGCTCCGGGTTCCTCTTAGATAGCAGAGTGCTAAGTAGTGCTCCCAAGCTGAGCTGTGTACATATATATATTCATATACAGGGGCGGACTGACAACTCATGGGGCCCCCGGGCAATAGGGGATCATGGGGCCCCTGTGTCCTTGCCCAAACTCAAAAAAGCCTATGAAAAAGGTACCAGGGGCATCTCATGGGGCCCCCTACTGACCCCCGGGCCCTCGGGCAGTGCCCGAGTTTCCAAATGGTCAGTCCGCCCCTGTTCATATACACACACAGCAGAAGTAAGCCACTCCCCAGCTTCCTCCTCACAGGATGCAATGTAAAACTCTCCTTCTTTAGAGAGCCTAGGACCGCCTGCACTTGGGACTTCAAGTCATTAGTAAAGATGGTATTTTTGTTATAATACATCGAGGTGTATTTCCGATGTATGCGTAATCTTTTATCCATTGCTCTCTGGAAAGTAGCACACTGCACAATGCAAACCGAACAGCATTCTTTTATATTGCAAATGACCTTCTGGATTGGAAAAAGCATCCTTTTCTCTGGCTTTCTTAGTTAGAGGTATCTACAAGTACCCCTTGGTAAAATGTTGGGTGGTAATGTACAGCGGTGGCATCAACCTCTCTATCAATTTATCTATTTGGGGCATCAGATTGGCATTGAACTTTGATAACTCATTGAGTTTTCATTAAGTGTGGTTTTACAACATTTTCAAAAAAAGAGTCCCATTGGGCTTTGGTACCAACAAAATCCGGCTCGATTACTCGCTCCTCAGTGATATCAAGTTCCAGCATCTTGTAAACGTCCTCTGAAACTGCTTTCCTATGTAACTCAGGAATGCAGTAGGGTTTTACTAGGACTTTTACACCAGATTCTGTAACAATCTCATGCTCAATTACCTTGGTAAGACCAGGAAACCTGAAACCTTTTCCCTATTCCACTGCAAAAACTCCTTTATTTGCCACTCCCAGAGAGGGCTTAGAACTAACCTCAGCCAGGGCAACTACCTGCCCTTGTTCCTTCCAGGGTTCTAACAGATTTATGTGATATGTCTGGTATGGCTTTCACTTCCCAGGTTGGTGTATTTTATAGTTTACCTCTCCAACCTTTTCTACAATCTCAAATGGTCCCTTACTTTATTACAGCCAATACCTAACCTGGAACTGTCTAAGCCTGGCACACTGGTTGTTTCCCCCCTCTCTGTGCTTCATGTGCTTTTTGCATATGCTTCCTTACTAGGAACATCACCTTAGCAATACTTTCTCTCATTTGAGTTATCGGCAAAACTATGCCGTTCCAGTTGAGTGACCAACTCTCACATGTTGTGAACTGGAACCCAGGGTGCTGAACAGCTGGTCTGCGAGATTCTGTAACATGCATGAATATGGAATATTGTTGGAATATTGCTCCTTGCTATCTTTATTGAAGCATTAAAATTACATTACAGGTATGACAGGAACATTAAAAAGGTTATATGTTCTGTGTTAAATTCAGCATTTACTCAAACCTCAATATTTCTTTTCCCGTGTTTCTCTCACCAAGTCAAGCAGTCCCTGTTGTCTTTGCCCGTACACCAACTCAAATGGCAAAATCCAGTTGTACTTGAGGCAGTTCTCTAGTGGCAAACAATATTGCTAGGAGTAGGCAGTCCCAACCTTTTCCATCTATTTGCACAACATTCTGAAGCATTGACTTTGTTTTTTTGTTTTTTTAAACTGCTTGACCAAACTATTTGTCTCTGGATGGTAAACAGAGGTACATAATTGTTTGATTGAAAAAAAAACTCACATTAGTCTGTTATCACTGTGCGATGGGGAAACAGCTCTCATTGTTTGAACACTGTTTGTGTGGAATTAAATTAATGTTTTGACTGACATTCTGCGGTTTAGCCACAAGATGTCACTGTTTTTCTAACAGCCTCAGACTGCATATATATTTGTATATTCATGAAGAGGTGGGGTTCTGCACACAGAGTTGGAGAGAACAGGAAGGAGAAGACATGTTTTGGAGCATGGTGAATAAGGGGCCATGTGAGCTGAGAATCTGATGACATCCAGGTGTGAAAGCGTCCCTCAGTAACCAGAGATTGCTGTGAGGAATGCTGATGAGATTGCTGCCAGGAAACTGATGAGATTGCTGCCAGAAATGCTGATGAGATTGCTGCCAGGAAGGCTGATGAGAGCAGAGGAACTAAGAAACATATACGGCAAGACCGAATGCTTGTTGGAGAGACATTTGTTCTGTTCAGAGTCACCAGCGGATGCAAAGCAGACTTGGGTCGGTAAGATTGTGCACGCACCTCATTTCAGTGTTGGCGCCTTGAGACTGAGTCCAGGCCTATAGTTAGTTAGTTAGGGTCTCTGTTTGTGTCAGGCCACAAGTGTTGTTATGGAAGGACTTCACAACTTAATGTGACATTTCACATTGGAGAGCTGATAAAATCCTACAAACTCAAGCCAAACTGGCATTTTGCTCAGAAGGAATACTCTGGCACGTGCTACAGGACCAGTTATGGGAGGGGGAATACTGTAGATTTGTGTAAGATTGTAAGCTGTTGTGCTGCACCGCAGGCTAGCCCATACCTTACACCCATACACTGATTCTTGTTCTTTTAGGGTAGAAACAGGTAAGGTGTGGCAGCTTATTTGTGCCCGCCAGTAGGTAAATTACTTCACTTTCTACCTTCATCCATCAGAAGGCGCCGTGCTGTACAGTACAAGGGTCTCAGGCTTTGGGCTGGGTGTTTGAAAAATTATTGTATGTTTCCAGCATTTGTGGTGGTGCTTATTTGCCCCATCTAAGTAAAATTCTGTTGTGGCAAAAGCTGGTGTTGGGGTTGCTTTCCTCGTTCGTGACTTCACTGTATCCTGGGGAGCCCACCCCGTACACACGGCTTACATCACCCTAGACAGAAATGGAGTGCCCTGATCTATCAAAATCTCTCTTCACTTTCTACCTTCATCCATCAGAAGGCACCGTGCTGTACAGTACAAGGGTCTCAGCCTTTGGGCTGGGTGTATGTAAATTTATTGTATGTTTCCAGCATTTGTGGTTGTGCTTATTTTCCCCATCTAATTAAAATTCTGTTGTGGCAAAAGCTGGTGTTGGGTTTGCTTTCCTTGTTCGTGACTTCACTGTATCCTGGGGAGCCCACCCCGGTACACGGCTTACATCACCCTAGACAGAAATGGAGTGCCCTGATCTATCAAAATCTCTCTTCACTTTCTACCTTCATCCATCAGAAGGCGCCGTGCTGTACAGTACAAGGGTCTCAGCCTTTGGGCTGGGTGTATGTAAATTTATTGTATGTTTCCAGCATTTGTGGTTGTGCTTATTTTCCCCATCTAATTAAAATTCTGTTGTGGCAAAAGCTGGTGTCCGGTTTGCTTTCCTCGTTCGTGACTTCACTGTATCCTGGGGAGCCCACCCCGGTACACGGCTTACATCACCCTAGACAGAAATGGAGTGTCCTCATCTATCAAAATCTCTTTGGCGAATCCTGTCCTGAAGAACATGATAAATAACTTCCTGGCAATTGCACTTGAGGAGGTCTTCCTCAGAGGGATGACCTCTGGATACCTGGTGGCATAGTCATGTACCATAAGGCTGTATTGGTGACCCTGAGCTCTTTCATTATGGGGCCCACCAAATCCATCGCAATATGCTTGAATGGTATCTTGATAATGGACAGAGGCATCAATGGTTTCCTAAACTGTGATATCAGTGCAGTAAGCTGGTAGGTGAGACATGAACTGCAAAGTAGTTTCACCTCTGCATCACTCCCAGCCAGTAGAACTGTTCTGTTAGCTGTGCTTTTCTTCCCCCAGGTGACCTCCCAAAGAGTTATTGTGTACCAAGTTGTGCACCGTGCATCTGAAATGCAGGAGACCAGTAACTGGTCAACCACCTCACCCCAGATTTCCATGATATGTTATTATAGCAACTGATCATGTACTGCAAGTGGGGAAGCCTTAATGTGGGGTCCCTCATTCGGGTGGAACAAATGCACCCCATGACACTTCCAGGTCAGGATGGGTGGGATTAGAGGTTCCTTCCCCCCTGTCCTCCTTAGACATAACCTGTAATATTCTCCCCAACCATGACCTGCAGAAGAGTAGGTCTCTACCAGGGGTTCCCATACACTGTAGGTTGTCTGCCACAGGTGCAACATGTTGCAACGAGCTCTTAGCCCTTCAAAGGGAGTAAGATGGTCACACTGTCCTGGCACATAGTCCCAAGGTTCAACAAACAAAGGGTATCCCCTTTCCATGATAATACTGTGAATGAGGTTAGGCATCGCCCTGACCTCTGGAGCAACCATGCCACACACTGTGATGATTGTCACTGGCACCAGTGGGTACTCCCTGGTGTCACCTTGTATGCATACCACCCTATAAGTTTTGTTTTTTTTTTTTACAGGGCCCCCCTCCCCAGATACCACGGTATGAACAAGTGTTACCATGCTATCACATTCCAACAACGCTCGAGCATGGAGCTGATTTACACAGATGTTACACTCAAACCACCCCTTTGGCAGGTCCAAGCGGGCAGCACAGACCCTCTGAGCATAGCATGACATCCTTCATACAGCTCCACACTCCATGGGCTTCTCCTGCAGGTGCCAATGAGCTTGGATAAGGCCCTGGGAGTGACACAGCCAGCACAGAATGTTCTTGCTCCTTCATGCTTGCAAAGCACTGGAACAATGGAGTGGTCACACTCTGGATCTCCTGAGTGCTGTTTCCCGGGTTTGTGGGTGGCTTGACTCTCCTCACTGGCAGAGGTCTCCGAGGTTTGTCAGGACCTAGTAGATGCTCCACCACAGTGAACTGCTCTACCAGCTCCATCAGACAGTCCATTGTATGTGGTTCCTTGTGGCTGACCCAATGCTGCAGCTCATTAGGTAGTGCCCTTTGTTAGAGTTCCATGAAAAACCCTTTCCATGATTTTTGGTCATGTTATCTTCTCTGGCTGTAGGCACTTAGTGGCCAGTTGTAACAGGTCGTTCATTTGGGACCACTGTTACTGGCAACATGATACCTCCAGCAGTACATCCAGTGTGCCCAGACAGCCACAGTCACCTGAAGGTGGGCTAAGATTTCTCCCTTGAGTTTTTCTTACAGTCCTTGGCTTCAGCCACCAGCAGGTCATAAAAGGCTTCCTGGAGTTCCTCTGACAACAACAAGGCAATGAGGCTGGCCCACTGGTCCAAAGGCCACTCCTTCCTCTCAGCCTTGCACTCAAATGTGATTAGGAAGGCTACCATGCCTTCATGGGGAGTCACCTTTAGCAATAAATGGCTGGTGCTCACTGTCACAGGGTTGCTAGGGGCATGAACCCTCTTCAGAAGACTGGGCCTGCATAGACTTCTTTTGCTCCTCCAACTGCACTGTCTGGACCTGTTAATTCTGTATTAGTAGGGCCAAGGCTCTTCATGGCAACAGTTGCCTTCCACTGAGGCTTGTAGTCGTGTCCTTGTAGTGTCCTGTTTGTACTTGCACCTGTATGGCCTGTTGCTGACATGTCTGGACTTCTTCGTGGCAGTGGTTAGCTTCCATGGAGGCCTGCTGTTGGGCTTGTAGTTGAGCCTGAGTGGGCTCCTGTAATCTGAACCAAGGCTTTTAAAACCTCTTTCCTGCTGTCTTCAGCAATTTGCAGCACCTGTGCTGCTCTGACCTCCTTTAAATGTCACTTTTCACTTCAAACAGCTTTAATTGATGGATGGTAATCCCACATCTGAGCAACACTTGTCACATGGGGGCCTGAGATCACCAGTAAGCTGTTTGTAAAAGTAATCAGTCTTTATTTTTCTCTCCTAAAAACAGGCAAACAGTCCAGAAAAACAAAATAGCTTACTTCAACTAACAAATGCACAATAGTGCAAAACTCTGATTCAAACGGAAAACAAGGTAGTGGCTCATCACTGCTCTACTGGTTCCACACTGAGGTTTTGGTGTTTTCCATCTGCTTCAGGGTTCCCAAAGAAGAGATATCCACAACTCAGCAACCGTGGCCTAATCCTAAACTTAATTCACCCTGCTCACTCAGGTGTGTCTAGCTCACTCTCTGAGGGCCAATTCACACTACAGGTATATGCAGTGATGGACTTTTCTTCCTCATGGTAAAATGTCTGTCACAGCAGGGACACACAGGAAACAATAGTTTGCTATGTGTCCCATTTCACACCCGCAATGCAGCATAGTGCTGCGCTTCAGAGTGCTGCGGTAAAATGCAGACATGATGTATTTTACCGCAGTGCACGGGACCGAGAGTGTAGCACATTGCGCTGCTCGACATTGCAGTGAATGAAGTGTACATTTTTTACATTTCACATAAAGTTTGTTCAAACAAAAAAATGGGGGGGGGGGAGCCGTGTGATGTGCTGAATTGTAGCGCAGCCAGTAGCACAGAGCTGCCAGAGCTGTGAATAGCCCCTGCCGCTCTGTGTTGCAGTGTGCACACAGCAAGGTGTTGACTGTTTCCTCTTCTTTTTCAAGATTCCCCTTGCAAGGGGCTTAACTCCTTCAGAACCAGAGCCCCAGTAATCAGGGTTTGGAGGTTCTTCCCACTTGAACACTTCCAATTTCCAGGTCCCTAATAAGGACTTTGCAATCCAGAGAGTAGTAAAAACCAGTCCTCTCCTACTGGACTACCCCGGAACCCCTAATCCTGCATTTATAGAGACAGCTATATTTGTTCATTAAAATTCACTTTGTGGGTGCCCTGGCACCACCCTCATGCCCGACCAGGGGCGGACTGACCATTTGGAAACTCGGGCACTGCCCGAGGGCCCGGGGTCAGTAGGGGGCCCCATGAGATGCCCCTGGTACCTTTTTCATAGGCTTTTTTGAGTTTGGGCAAGGACACAGGGGCCCCATGATCCCCTATTGCCCGGGGGCCCCATGAGTTGTCAGTCCGCCCCTGTGCCTGACATACTTCAACTGAAAAATCAAAGGAGGTGATGGACAGTTTTCACCCGGAGCAGCTGCATCCAATCAGAGGCAGCTACTACTCCGGTATTCTATCAGAATACAATAGCTGCAGCTTTTTTATTTTATTTGTCCATCAGCACTGTATAGTGTAGATTTAGGAATCTATCTTTTTTTTTATTTTCGATCAGCCCTTAGGCTAGCTTTACTTAAAACTTCCTAGATGACCAATATCTCGGCCGTTGTCAAAAGAAGGTTACTTAATAACTGCACTGAGCCACTGAGAGCTTCTTATGATGGATAATCTACAGTCCAAATCTCTTTATTATCAAAAATAGGGA